ATCAGCTTATTGTTATAGACTTATGTCTTAATGTATATTGAAAATATGTAAATAAATTTAAAAACAAATTGTTATACTTATAAAAAAGGATTATTGATTCCAACATTTTTCACTAAATGTTTTTACAATATCAAGAAATAAATTGACTTTATGTTAGTTTAAATTCCCAGTTATGTGCAACTTAATGAAAATGAATTAAAATGCGTTTTATTTTATTTTCTATATGTCGTATATATGGCACGATATTGTAAATAAATGATTAGTTACTAAACGTTGTATGTATACCATCTGCTCAAAAAGTACCCGGATTTTGTAAATAGAACACACAAATTGAATTTTATTCTAAATTTATTTTATGCTTCTTCTGAAGCGATACACATATGCCAACGCTTAACCAAATCTTCCATACACTTTTCGTAGGCCCGTGAAGGTATGGCTTTTAGTTCCTTCAGCGAATTCTCTTTTACCGATTTAATCGACTCAAAACGCTTACCACGAAGGGGTACTTTGAGTTTCGGGAACAGGAAAAAGTCGCACGGATGCAGATCTGGCGAATATGGTGTCTGAGCGATGACAGTGGTACCGTGTTTGGTCAAAAAATCGCGTACAACAAGAATTTTCCATACTAAAAGTCGCTAAATGCACTTAAGGTAGTTTCACATTAACAGCTACTGTAAACAAATTAATTGACAAATGGCGCTCAAATTTGTACCATATGTCAAGAAAGGGTGTACCAACATAACAAATTTTTGAAAAACGTCTATTACTTAAGGAGTAGTTAACAAACAACAAAATCCGGATACTTTTTGAGCAGAAGGTAAGTACATAAATAGAAAACAAGTAAAGAAATACCAGCTAACTACACAAAAAATACAAAATAAAACCAAAATGAAAGACGTAAGCCAACTGCATTAAAAACACGGAATAGGTAAGGTTGACCTGTATAGCCGAAAGCACGCATAAATTTATTGGTCCCTAGCGATACCAGATTATGAAGCCCCTAACTTTTATGTAGATTATAAAGTAGGAATTTTTGGTATTAATTTAAGTGATACTTGGTGCATTATTTTATTAATATTTTGAAACAATAAACCACGTCTGATCATATAATATAAAATTGTAGAATAGGCGTTTAGGGTGGCTCGCAAGTGTGACAAAAAACGCATGCTGGCCTATATTCGCTAAGCGAGACATTGGCATCACTGCTGGAATCTACCAAGTGCACATAATGCAAGCAAATTACATTTAGCATAAAAATAAATAGTTAATATAAAATTGAAAATTAAAACGAATACAGAATTAAAAAGAATGGTAAGAAATTTCAAAATAAAACACTGAAATTTTTTCTTTTTTCCCAATTTTATAATTTATAAAATTTTTCAGTTTTGTTTGGTTTTTTGTTTACATATGATATTTGAAATATGATTGCAATATTCGTTGGAATTCCTAAAGAATACTCATATTAGTTCACTTATTGCGTTGGTAACACTTTTTTCTTTACTGGCCGAAGTGTTTGAGGTTTGTCCCTGATATATTTTTTCACTGAGTCGATCCTTAGAACTGTGTGTATGTCTGTTGTTCTAAAATACCATGGAATCTTAAATAGTCTTCTTATAGCCAGGTTTTGTGCTATCTGTAATTGCTTTATGGCAATGTAGGCTTTGCTGTATGTAACACATCCGTACAGTAGTGCTGGCCTAATTATTTGAGAATACCTAGTAACTCTCTATTTTTGAGGTTGAAGTGATTATTATTAAACAGCGGCTTTAGAATATGTAGAATTTTAGAGCAGCATTCCGTTTGTATTTCATATGTTTATATCAATTGAGCCGATTGTCAAAAGTGGTCCCCAGATATTTTATGCTTTCCTCCCACAGTATCTAAGCGTCACCGACGGTCACTCTTGGAGGATGCTGCCTTCTCTTTTGTGTTATGAATATAGCCTTGATTTTGTCATTGCTAATTTTAATCTTCCATTTCTGCAAGTATTCCACCATGAGGTCTATATTTACCTGTAAGGTGTTGCTTACATTTATGGCATCCCGGTCAGAGTAGATCAAGCACGTGTCGTCTGCGTAAAACGACATTGATGCAGGGCTTAAGGTGGGAATGTCTGCCGTATATATCTATATTAAACAATGTGGGTGACAGTGGCGACCTTTGAGGTACACCTGCTTTTATTGTGCGGGCGGACGAAAGAGTGCTGTAGATTTTGGTAAGGAAGGACCTTTCTTGCAGGAAGCTACCGATGATTTTAGTTTTGGCAATGTCAAATATCATTCCGGTTGATTCCCGTTTACTTAGAGCTACGCTGTTCTGGCTAGTTGTAGTTCCATGGAGAGATCGTCCCTAGTATTACGGTTAATAAAGACCCATAATAATTGGCTTTTTCTTCTGCAAGCGTGTCGCAAAATAACAAATATAATAAGCACAACTTCTGATGACAACTCTGGATAAAATGTAAATTTTGTTAGGGTTATATGTGCAAAACACGTAATAGAATTTAAAGTTAAAATTTCGAAAAGGAATAATAATTCTGTGTAATTATTGGGAAAAATATTTTTTTTTTACATAATTATGAATAAAATTTGAATATTCGTGACTTTTAACAGTAAAATAATAAAATAAAAGTAACGTAATTGTTATCAACAATGACATACGAATAACTAACGAAATCATTCGTTGACAGTTAACTGGAAATTTCGTAGGTACTTCCAAAAGTCGTTCACAATAGATGAATTTTTAGTCTTGGCAACCATACAATTTGAACTGCTTATTAGTTACGCGGTTTCAAAGAAGTTGGACTAAATAAGTCAGCAATGTTGTTGATACATACGTTATTTTTAAAATAAACAGTTATTTTTTTGCGATATGCTTACAAAAAAAAGGCTTAATAATGGTAATATTATACTCCAACCGGAAAATTTCTATATACATGATGTGGCAACATACATGATACTCGTCCATGTTAAAAATGATAGGAGCTGGCCACGCAAGAAAACATGTAAATTGGCTAATGTCATTTTTATTTTATTCAAAAAGCTAATATCATTTTTATTTCATTCTGGACAAAGAATAAATAATTAATATAAGTACGGTAAAACGTACAAGAAGAAATAATATGTTTTAAGCATTCTTTTCAGTAGTGAAAAATGGTTGATATTGATGAAGATGAAGGGGGATTGACGGGATTGTTTATCCTAATTATTCTTATATGGTTTGTAAGTATCAATTCTGTAATGAGAAATGTTAAAGCAATTCTAAAAATATTTAAATCTATAAAAATAGATCTCCTTATGTGTCCTCATCTTTATTATTGTTGTGACATTACATCATGAGAACATAGTTTATGGTGTTTATTTGATTATAGTATGGGTGCTTACGTTTTGTATTGCGATCTTCACTATGTACACTTTTAAACTTGAAAATTTTGGCCTAACAGTTGTGGTAACTATAACTGAAGTATTAATTTGACTTCAAAGATTTATTAACGGATACGATTTCCTTAATAGCTCGGTGCAGTTATATATGTGATGTTGTGTTTCCAAATGTTGAGCCTTACTTATGTTTGTGACGAAGTGGATATAGATCTGAAAGCAGGCGATGTTGTCAACAAACACTGGCGAGCTGAAGTGGAAAAGCCTGGAAGCATGGATGATTTTCAATCAGAGGTGAGCATTAACTGTCTTTGTGTATACAAAAGAAGAATGAACTCAACTATATGCATTTTGGAAATAATAGGATGAATGTGTTTTATATAATATACTAAAATTGTTAGGTCAGAGACTGATAATATAATATAATATGCTAAAATCTTTGCTAACTAAATTCAAACGTAAGAAAAGAAAAAGATTAATTAAAAATATTTTTAAATTGAAATAAATAAATAAATAAATAAATAAATGGACCTAGCCGTAATTACGAAAACTGAGGTAAAAGGAGTACTTCATGAACTTTATTAAAACTAACGATTTAAATGAAATTCAAAAAAATAAATATTTATGTTAAATAATTTTAATGTATAAAATGTCATCGCGTTAGAAGTAATTGTTACACAATAATGAATCCATATACGCATGCCACATGCTTTCGGTATCGATTTATCGCAATTAGGAGAGCTAGTAATACTTGGAGCTCCCTTTACATTATGAAATATTGGTTCGGATTCGGGTGAGTCTTATATAACCCTCTCAGAGATACATATTCATATACTTTTGATGTATCACATAAAGTTGGTTGTTCTTAATTTACCCTAAAGGATCGTCTTTATATTATGAAATATGACGCGGTCCATATTTTTTAACATCGCCCCATATATTGTTTGGCTGCTTTTACAAAATGATAAACAATGTGACATTTATATTGATATTTATTTTACATATTAGTTATTTTGTTTATCTACGGAGCTAGTAATCCATTTTCTAAAAGAAGTATAATAATTAATGGCAATATTTTGAAATTTTAATCTTATTTTTGTTTTTTATAGTTCCGTTGTTGCGGCAAATACGGTGAAATGGACTACCGTTTGTTGCAACGTGATGTGCCAGCTTCCTGTAACCAATCAGAATTTCAATATTACGGACAAGGTTGTTTAGACCAATATCTTGACTGGTGTTTAGAATATTTTTATATATCTGAGTTTGGTGAACACTTAATGATAGTAACAAATGTACGTATTGAAAAAATATTGTTCAAGCATGCAATTAATATTAATAAGTTTTTTTTAATATAGACTTTCGCGTTTGTGGTAACCATATTTATGGCAAAATATTTTCATATGAAATATTTTGAAGACGGCATTTAATTCAGCATTTAATCTTTTTGTGAATATTTTTCAAACTTTTTTGCAGTTCCAAAAACACTTTTCAAGACTAAATACACTTTGATATGGATTAATGTGATCACACGTTTTTTAAAGTTTAATATATTTGGAATAAAAACATATTTTTTAACATTTAACAATTTTGTAATGTTTTCTTTCTGTCATGGAAGTAAGAAGTTCTAATACCTTTATAACCTTCAGGAGTCAGTGTCTCTCAATTGTAAACAATTTTTATAAGTTCGAGAAAGAAATTTTTAAATTTGTAAGCTATATGCATTTCGAGAAGATGACCCAACTGACCAAATGCGAGTAAGTATATACTTTCTTTTGGGTAAAAAAAGAGTTTCAAAAGAACTCACATTAAAAAACTTCAAAATATGTTCTTATATCACTTTAAATACGATATGCACGATAATATTAAATATGTGATTATTGAACTGAGTCCTAGTTTATGTACTATATTCTAAACACGTTAATATGTTCTGCAATGAGACAATATATATCTTTGGCTGCACTTATTTGAGTAGATTTTTGGACGACATGCGACATCTTTCTTTTATTTCCCTAAGTCACAACTATGGCTACATATTTTAGTTGGGCATATCTACCTATAAATCAGTACATAATTATTACGGAAATACATACAATTAAGATTATTGGAAAAGGAATTAATTTTCAATATTATTGGAGATACGTAAAGTTAAAAAAAAAAATTAACATTTAAGGGTTAATTTGACACCATTGAGTTTTTAATGATAATAACGCGCTCCTAAGGATTATTTTGAAAATACAGAATTAACCTAAAATATTTGTAAATTTGAACAATCAAAAGTTTAGAAAATATTTTTATAAGATTTGCTATACAATTGATGCTATTGTTGCGCCATTTTTGTTTGGCGAGGAGGAAACGACGACACCCAACTTTTTTGCTTTACCTAACAGTGGAATGTTTAACGGTTGACAAACTCAATTATACACAAAAAAAAAACTAAAAGACCAACATTAATTCCTATTTATTCAAATAAACATATTTCTATAGTTTTATTCAATAAAAATTGTTACTCCACGTTACACATGTCGTTAAAAGTTTTTAATTTTTTGAGTTTAAAGTTAATGTTCCAAATTAATGAAATATTTCCCATTTATTAATTCCAGTGTTGCCATATTTTTTGTAATAAGCTACCCATAAAGCGCCCTTTACACACCGACTATCGTTGTCAGGGTGAGTATATGATATATATGACAATCAAGTTTCAATAGCCTTAATTTTTTCTTTCAGAGTTGTAAAAAAAACAGCGTTAAGTCTGGTTGAAACAAATTGGCATCACTTTTATAACATGTTAAATGCTTGTTTTTTGTTGTGTTGGGTATCATATTGTATTCATAAAAAAATTGTAAACAATAAAAACTAATTAATTTAAATAAAATAAAACAAAATAAATATTATAACGGCAATGGCTAGCATTTTTATGTTATATATTAAAATTTATTTATTTATGTGTTTGAATTAATTAGTATATGAAATATTGACATAATTTTAACGAATAATAAACTTTTTTTGAATTTGGCTGCACTAAAACTTAAGATGTAAAAAATTTTTGCCAGTAAAACCTAACTATTAAGATTTTAAGAGCATTGTTGTTGCTTTACATGTTCTTTTTTGTAAGTTAGGAGTATTTGTTTGCTATTCTGAAAGAAAAAATTACGGCTGAAATAGTGTAATTTCGAGAACATATTAAAGTTGAATTTTTACAGAAACTGAGTTTGTATAAAATTATATGAACAAAACTTTTTATCTTCTCCAAACCAACTTTAAGTTTTGACGGTTCCCTTGAGTAAGTACTCGTATGCAATTTTTGCAAAAGAATTACAAAATTCTGCCAAACTTTTGCCTCTTTTGGCTTAACTTATGAGTCCCAAGTGTTTCAGCTACAAGACCCTCAAACCCATCTTGCAGAAGTTGGAACAAAATAAGAAAAAAAACGCTTCAGTTTTGTTCAGCTATTGTTCAAAGTTGCAATACAAATAAAAAAGGAAGCATATGTTATTGTTTGATCAAAATTTGAATTTGCAAACAAAAGAGATTGCTAATAAAAAACAAATATTAATACTGTAATATAGTACGAAAGTTAGACTAATCAAAAAAAAAAGATCCGAACATCTTTTCAGAGTATAGACCAGACCAAGATGATTTATTGCATAAATCGTTGCTTAAATAAATAGCTAGAAACTAAAAAACATCTGTTTCGCTGAAGTTGATCTTTTCATGAAGTAATAAATCTTTCTCAACTTGCGCTAAAGCCCAATCTACAAAATTTGTATACAAAAATGATTTGATTTAAAGTTTTGGATCAACTGAACATTATATATCAGAATGCAAAGGTTTATGGTCTATAAGCCATGAGAAACCATCTTATTATTTATACCTGATATTCATCTATACGATTTTTTGGACTGTTAACATCACCCATTAATCCAAATTTTTAAATTATATTAAGTATTGTAAGTTCAATTCGTTGAATACTTAGTAGCTCAAATAGATTCAGTATATTTATAAAAGTATCTGTATGTCCTGTAATTGTATATCTTATTATTATTATTTTCAAAAATACCTCATATAGGATATGCAGACGAAGACAACGCTGAGCACACCATCTTTAAATGCAACAGATGCAACACCGTAAAAACATCACTTGAAACAATGATCGGTGAAATAAACGTCGAAAATATCTCAACAAAAATGATGCTATCTGAAGAAAACTGGACCGCCATAGACCGATTTGTTACGATAATACTCAAACGGAAAAAATATGATCTAGAAAATGGACAATTTAAAAAAAAGAAAAACAAATAAACCTAAGCGTGGCCTGGACGCAGGCTAACGAAGAAAAACCAAATTCCTGAAGTATTCCCAATAAAGTTCCAGGATAGAAACGGTCTGGTACATGAGGTGGATTGTTTTTAGTCCGTGTAAACTGAGTATACCACTATTATGACGACATAGTGACGATGCGTTAGGTATTTTTAAACCTTCTCTCCGCAATAACAAAAAAAAAAAATTATTTTATGACTATGATAAAGCAAAAATCTTTAAAAATTATATGAATATAATGTGATCACTTTATCTACTGGTTCATATGACAACAAAAATATTTTAGTGGGAAAAGATTATGAACAAGAAGTTACTATATTGTCAATCTTCTTCAATCGGTTTTTAAATAAAACAAACAAATAATTTTTTTAGATTAACAATTATATTTTAATATTTATCATTTTACATATTCCTTTTGCTATCATTATTATTTCTTATGTATTGTATTGTGTGGTTTTGTATTTTAATTTTTATTCAACACATTTAATCGATTATTTCAGTTTAGAACACTTGCGACAGATAAGTTATAACTGTTAAATATATTATATATATATTATAAATATATATGTTATTTGTATTTAAGTTGTTGCTGCAAATTAAGAACATGTAAATTATATGTATATATTATCATTAAGTATTTGCTCAAATTAACAATAGTTTATGCATTAATTAGAATTAAACAACGCAGATTTATAGACATATTCAAAAATTTATATATAAATTTTAATAATTATATATAAGTAAAGTTTAGTTTTTTTTTATATTTTGTTTGCTTGTTATTTACTTAGTAAATGATAAAGTTTCAAACATTATTAACTATTACGAAAATATAGCTAACTATTAATTAATTTTTTTTTGAGATTTATATTTTGTTTTTAATATCGTAATTCAATGAAAACAAAGTAACGTTATAGAATAGTAATAACCAATTATAACAAAACAATTGTTAAAGGCAAAAACTTATATAAAATTTCTTTCATATTTGTTAAATATCAACTAAACTAAGTATAAACAGAATATCAACTAAATGAGTTTAATAATTATTAAATAGTTGTAATATTACCTAGTGTTATAGAAAATGTCCTTGGAATTAAACAAAACAATCGATAGCCATCGTATGTAATTAATACAAATACAATGGTATATAAAATATATGATTGATATACCAAAAATTTCTGTTTTTCACATTTATAACTATATAATTTGAAGTTACAACAAATCTTATAATAAATTTGAAGTTAATCATTTGAGTCTAGAAAATATTTAGATGAATAGCATAAATATTAAGCACAATAAGATAATCAAATTAGTAGGAAATTAACAACAAATTACAGATCAAAGGATTTTAGAACTTAGCAACAAATGTTATGTTATAACATTAAATTTATAAGAAATTATATATATAATGTATTAGTAAAAAGTTTATTAACACTGCTTTTATAGTGATGTCTAGCCAATTTCGTTATAAATCGTTTGAGAAATATAAAGAATTCTTTAAGGAGGAACCTTAAAACAAAAGATTCCTGTTTTTCACATATTTATTCACTGAAGTTAAATATTTTGTTTTTATCTATCATTTACCTTACAGTGAAATTTAGATTTACTAATAAATTACGGAGGGTTTATAGCACTGTTATGATTTCTTAAAGTTTCGAATATCTTATTAAGTTTTTTCCTTCATTCTTAATATGTGTAATAAAAACCGAAATAATGGTACATACAATCAAATCATCAATTTCATTTTTAAATACATTAATAAGTATTAGATACATTATAAGCAATGGCGGATTTACGTAGGGGCTCAGAATATATTACCACCCCAGTAATATATTATACTAACTTTTCAAATGTACATTCTTTTTTTGGTATATTATTGTTAAGAATTTCTAAGAACGTTAGCAAAGCTCAATATATAAATTATTTATCGCCTATTTTTAGAAAACTAGTATAATAGGTTCGTAATGTGTGTGAAAACTCATATTAAATATTACGTTTATAACAGTTAAAAAATGTCTAGTTATATTGTTTTGTTATTAGGCCGCCGCCATTGGACATTTCTAGAATTTCTAGTAGTCCGAAATACAAAGTATTAATTTTTTTATCGATTAGTTGCTTGAATGGTATTAATCTAGTACAATTTAGTTCAATTCAAGTATTAGTAGATATATTCTGTCAATTGAGTTGTTCTACGCCTAATTCTTGTACTACTGTTAAAGAGAGGTTTCTCTTATGTTATAAATTCGTGTTATAATTTTCAAAAAAAAA